AAGTTAGTCAATGTCGTTCTTTCATTGAATTAAAATCATTCTATTTAGAAACTTTTGAGTTGTTATTTTCTTTTAGATTACAATCAATATTAAACTGTTTTTCAAAAAAACATTCTTAATTATAACCAAATTTAAGAGTTATTTTACTGATTGATTGAAGACAATTTTGACACTGATTGGCTGACAAGTCAAAAACTAGGTTTTTCATTAAATTAATAGAATTTAATTTATTTATGATATAATAAATTCTCGTTGTAGCTTCCTTCTTCTTATTGTGATATTAAATTTATTTCTGTTTTTTTAACAATTTAGTCCCATAAATTTTGAACATAATTTGGATTGTTTTCAGAGTTATTTTTCAATATTAAAGTTTCTGTAGGTATGTGGGGGTATTCACTAGAATAAATTAGTTTGTAAGTTGTAATTATAATATTAACTTATCTCTGAAGATGACTCAAAAATGAGCCGAATGTAAGCGGATTATCTAATAAAGAGTTTTGTATTATATTCACACATTGTTTATTTCAAGCAACAATTACGTGCCTGACTCCTATTGCATTATTTTACTCAATTTTTTTATGATTGGCAAGCGAGCAAATCGAATTTGAAAACTATGAAATCATTAGAAATCTTTTTAGCGATATAGAAAAATAAATAAAACTGTGTTTATTTAGAATCATCTGATCATCGATAATGAATTTATATCAGTAGTATCAATGTAATTACGATAATTGTGGCCCCTCAAAATAAAAGTTATTTTTGAAAGTATTTTTAGTAAGAAATACGGAAAAAATAGTAAAAAAGTTTTATAAATAATAATTTAATAATCAAAATTCAATTTTATGATTAATTTATTTCAATAATAACTTTTAAATATATAATGATTGTCAACTAAAATGTTCTGGAGATTATTCAGGACAAGATATAATGACTTTACAAGATATATTAACACTCATCTCACCTCTTTTCTGCTACGGAGCTCACAACTTTCCACGCGAAGCAACTCCCTATCGTTGGAAAGTCGTACGCCCGGTAGCAGGGAGGAAGGTGGGATCAAGTTGCTTCGTGCGAAAAGTCATGGGCCTCGTAGCAAGGGGGAAGGAGGGGGAATTAAGATAGAAGTCGCTTCGCGTAGAAAGTCGTGCGTAAGAGAGGAAGTGAGATAAATGTTAACATATCTTGTCAAGATCAATGTTCTGAATAACTTCCAAAACATTTTAGTCGACAGTCATTGTTTAAAAATTATTATCTTTCATTTAAAAGTTATTATCAAATTTATCATAAAATTGACTTATGATTATTAAATTAAATATTGATTATAAAATTATTTTATTATTTTTCCTGTGTTCTTTATTAAAAATACTTTCAAAAATAACTTTTATTTTGAGAGGTCACAATTGTTATAATCATTTCCTAATCATGCATTGATGCTAAATTTATTATAATATGATTCTGAATAAACACATTTTATTTATTTTTCTATTGAGTTGTCCGGAAAGTTCGTGCCGATTAACCTATATAATTTAATAAATATACTAAAATTTAAATCTTCTGCGTTTCAATTTTCTTTCAACATCGGCACGAATTTTCCGGACAATATATTGCTGAAAAGATTTTTAATGATATATTCTTCAAATTCGTGATATTTGCTCGCTCGCCGATCGGTGATCATTAACAGTCGAATCTATGTCGTGCTTTATCAATTGATTATTTCATCAAATATTCATGAAACGAAGAAACCTTCCACTGGACGTAACAATTATGATATTTTACGGAGAGTGCAGACAAAGCGCAGCTGTAGTCACTACTGAATACATAGTTTGATTTCCTCGTCATCAACATCCAAGTAGAAATGTAATTTTAAGACTTGTAACTCGGGCAAGACAGGTGAATTGTCGGTAAATAGAAAACGTGTCGGTAATGTTGATCGAAATCAGAGAAACGAAGAAATTATTCTTCGATCATTTGAAGATAATCCAAAAATAATTATAAGGAATACAGAACGCGAATATAATTTATCAAAAAGCAGCATTCAAAAAATTCGTAAGCAACTGTATGCGCATCATTACACCCGCGTACAAGACTTAAATATTACCGGGTGATTACGCTGCTCGACTTGAATTTTGTACATGATTAATTCAACAATACTAAAATAATCTTGATTTTATAAATAAAATATTATTCACGAATGAAGCAAATTTTTCAAAGAAAGAAACATTTAATATACATAATTATCATTTTTGAAGAAGAAAACTCTAATGTTACTGTATTAGCAGGACAGGTTTCTAAATAAAATTTTATATGTATAATATTAATTACAATATATAAAGTTGTAAGAATATCAATTATTATTGTTCTTAGATTGGATCAGTTGAATTACCTACTCATTTAAAGAGATATTAAAGACAATTAGTCATTGTGAAAATAGCACTTATCCAGATAGCATTTTGCCGACATTTTGCTAAAAATTTGCTTAAAAATTTGCTTAAAAATGTTACAAGCAATTTGCCAACAAGGTGAATCCTCCTTTAATGCAATATTGCAAGCAAAGAAATACACAAATTAAGTAGAATAACTTTACAGTAACTTTGCAACAATTGTGGTAAAAAGTGCTTGATTATGATAATATTTCGGCAAAATTTTGCTTATCATCAAAAGTATAAATGGCAAAATTATGGCAATATGCGATCAATATTTGTAAATATTTTTGTCATAAATATTATACATTATTAATTCCTGATATATATCGGTAATTTGCTGGAAATATGCAAACAAAATTTTATTTAGCGAATACCTTATTTATCAACATTTCGACAACAAGAATCAGCAAATAAATTGTACTGTTTTGCTTTTGCACGAAATATTATCTGGAAACACAAAGATTTACGTGTCATGGATACATCACAACATCAATATCTCACTCATCAATGCCACACATATACATGAATTTTCATATACGAATTTTCATATATACAAATTTTCATTTACGTTAACAATTACGTTTTACTTAGACGTTTAAATCCAATTTTAAGAACTTTATGCTGTTTCATGCAAATTATTAATCTGTGAACTATTATATCATAAGTACAGCTTTTATATGAAACAAATTTTTGTCACGACATGACAGCTCTGAAGCGCCATATAGAACTAACAATATAAATGATAAAAAAAGACCTTAATTTCGAAATGTTTTGTTGTTCTCAGCATAGACTCTCAACAAATATTTATTAATGTGTACTTTAATCCTGGAAATGAATTTTCAAATCAGTAAGAGAGAAGAAAAATATTGTTATACAAAAATTATATGGTTTAGTTGGTACAGACGATATTAATACAGACGACTTTAACATTCCCTTAAATAGCAAATATTATGCAAGCTTTTTGGAAAATGATCTACTAGAATCTCTAGAAAATATTTCTTTGCATGTATGCAGGAATATGGTTTATGCTCCAAATATGATGATGCTCCAGTACATTTTTCCGTATCGTCGCAATGAATTTTAAATAAAAAATTTAGGAATTCCTAAATAAGACATCGTGAACCCGTAAACTGACCGGTTGATTTAAAGCCCATGATTTTTTTTATGTAGAGAAACATGAAGCAACTCTCATCCCAATTGAAGTAAGTGCGCCCCCAAGCAGGATGGAAGATGAGGTGAGTGTCACTTCAGGTGAAAGCCGTACTCTCCTAAGCAGAGGGGGAGGTGAGATGGAAGTTCCGTGGAAAGTTGTAAAATACTTTAAAACAGAAAGAAAATTTCTGTTTTATATAATGGAAAAGATGTATCGTTATTTCTTAAACTTCTTTTGTTTATAACTTTTTAATAAATCCGACAATTAAAATTTTTTCAAGGTCACTCAGGATCATGACCTTGATAATGAATATCAAGATCAAAATCATTGGAGACTTCCCTAAATTATATTTACTGTTTGGTTCTGTTATGTAGATGATATATTCGTAATCTGGAGACATGGCAGTGATGAACTTCACAAATTCTTAAATTTTCTCAACAACCAACATTCCAATATTCAATTTGGACATGAAAGAGAATAGTAAGCTTCCCTGGATGTCACAGAGAAGGCTGACAATCAAGTATACAGGAAGCCAACACACATTGATAGATACTTACATGCCATGTCACACCATCCAGCATAAAACACATTCATTTGTGCATAGAGCATTGAGTATTTCTGATAAAAAGCATCTGCAAACAGACTCAACTATTGGAAACAAACTTACAAGAAGGAATACAATAAGAAAGATATGGACAGAATAATTAGCAAATATAGGAGCAAGACGAAGAACAATTCAGATACACAACAACCACAAGAAGAGTTAGATAAAAGAAACTTTTCTATTCTCCCATATGTAAAAAAAAAATAACCGAACAGATCGAATCAGCAGGATTTTGAAAAAACACAACATTCAAAGCTTCTAAGGAAAATCAAGCCATTTTCAAGTCTCCAAGCAAATTGAAAAATCCTGAAGATCAAAAACTTCAATTCAGTTCCGCAAAATATCTTGCTCTTGTGACAAAGTATACATCAATCGGAATAATGATCAACAACGCATAAAGGAACATCAACAGGATGTCAGGTTGAAATATCACACAATCAGCATTGGCAGAACAGAGCGTTGCAACAGGATATCAAACATTTCGATAAAATGACTACTATAACTACAATGATATCATATTTTCCGAGAAAGTATAGAAACGCTCTATAAATACAGAAACAGACAATTAGAAATTCAAACAAATAGAAATTCAGATTATGATATAAATAGGATATAGAAGATAGATGCTCTCTTGACAAGCCAAGGAAGTGCTCCTCCTCCCTTTATTAACATACCCTCGCTTCGCTTTACAGTGTCTACATAAACAGAATTCTCCAACAGCTCATTGTCAGTATCGATGCAAGTGCTGATTTCGGATAACCCAGGGCAATCGTTGCGAAAATTTGCATCGATTGTTGGAGTAATCGAGCCAACGTCAAATTGC